ACGGACCACCAGATAGTCCGTCCCGTCCTACCCCAAAGACGGACGGATTGGACGGTTGGGTTTGCTGAAGCTTTACATCGATTTAGACTTGTCCTTTCAGCGAAGGCAAGGGATCTACCCACATTGCGAGTGCTCTCTTATAGCATTCCTGGAAGCACAAGAGAATAAAGTACAACCCCCAACCGCTGCCCCAGACCGCACAAGCAACCCAATCGGAACTGCACAACCTGTTTCGACTGGGGATAGTGCTAGTGCAGGGCACAAGCCAGAAGCGGGGGAAGGAGGAGGCTGGAAAATCGTGAGGCATGGTAAGGGGTGCAGAAGCCAAAGAGGGAAGGGTATAGTTCAGGAATGTACGATGGGCGTGCCAATTGGAGTTCTGCTCCAGCCTTTAGTTCTATTGGGGTTTCAAAACTCAGCTGTACTCCATGCTCGTTTTGGATTGGTTGCCTTCAATTCTCTTGGTGGTCGTGAGTACTACGCAGAAGGATCCCACGGAAAATGGTATTGGCCTTGGGGCAATGCCAGAATTGCATATAGAGCGACTGAAGGGGCCACTGGTGTCGGCGATCACTGACGACTTTATGCGATACGAAGTGGGTCCTGGGAAAACCGGAAACCGAGGACCCATTCCGATAGCACAACTGCCGACGATGCAGAAGAGATGCGCACTCCCTAATAGTACTGTGGTAACTATTTTCCTCCTCATGGCTGCCATTCCCTCAACTGCAGGGCTCTAACTACCCCCTCTTAGTTCTCTCAGTCTTAGCCATACCCTTCTGGCCCAAATTCTGTTTCCTCTCCCTCCCTCCTTCCCATCCCTGCCACATCCCGATCCTATAAACTTAACCCCCAAGGGCTGTTTCCTCTTCTTCTCCCTTTTTAATCTTGCTACATTTGGATCCTATAAACCTAATACCCCTATTCTCTCATAGGTTTAAGTTGTTGATTTAGCACACTTTCACATTCTTCTTTTCCTTATTCTTAATTTTTTCTCTCTTTTTCTTTTTCCTGACAAATTCTCTTGTGCTACTTGAACCCTAGCTGTGCCCTCTTGGATTAGAAGTATCGGATTCGTTAAACTAGAAACCGGCAGATTTTTATTAGAAACTGACTGGATTTTTTTTTTTTTTCGATGATGATATAGTCAGTTTTCCTTCATTATTCTTTTTTTATTCGCGGCCTATCAATGCTGAATCCATACCCAATATCCCAAGGTGCACCCAGGCTAGATTGTAACCGTCCCATGGATAGTTGAACCCCCAAGACACCTGGGAATCTCCAGTGGAACAATAAGCCAACACACTGCACAGGAACTCAACCTACACTGATTGGACCTTGTACCATATATTTAAGTAGACATACCACAGGTAATCAGGACTCACCCTTGCCAAAATCTGCCTTTAAATTCACTATCTCAATTGAGGTGTTATGTCAAAGAGAGTAATACCAGTTAGTTTAAGTTTGTATTTCATGGCTCCTCGCAAGAACCCTAAAACTAAGGGTATAAACCTCGTATTTATACCCAAGAATTCTAACCCGACCCGAAAAAAATAAGACATATATCCAGTCTATCCCAAAACTATATATCCAGAAACAAAGAAAGCGAATTAGTAGAATATGATCGTATGAGTCATGACCGCACAACCCCTAGTACAACCCCCGAAATCCATCCCGCGGTGCACCTCTACGGATGGAGCGAGATGAGGCCAGAGAAGTCTCTTTCGTGAACCGCGAAACATCTGCCTACCCATTTGTGCTAGCAGTCAGCGCTCAGGAATCGAAATAAGCAGCGTTGTTTGTCTTTCCTCGGGAATTCCAGCTATAAATTTACCTACTGCTTCGCAAGCCATTCCTCGGCCTGTAAGTGCTGCCAAGTTTAGCGTTGGACCGGGTCTAGTTCAAGCCTTTCGATGGGCCCTTCGTCGGGTTCATTGTTCATTGTGTCCGGTCGGATATCCGTTCCGTGAGTTGGGCAGTTTCCGAGCCGCCTCCCGGGGTGTTCGTTAGGTTATTCCAGCTTCGTTTGGTAGAAGGGGTCGAGCGCCAATAACGCTGACTCAGCCCAGGGAAGAGATACAGGTATCTAAGTCAGGACCCGATAACCCCAATGAAGCACCCATTGGAGGACTTGCTCCGGTTGCGGGAGCACCGCGTACTCGATATTGTGGCTCGGAGGAGTGGTTGGCCTGGCGCGGTCAGGATAGTGCGGCGAGGATTGGTGTTTGAGGTTACCTCTTACCTACTTGCAGCAAATCGTTAGCAGCCGGGTCCATTGTTTCCTGATATCTTTCCCGCCCATCATGGGAAATTGACATTGATTGTTAGTCAATAAGTCAATAACTAATGCACCATAGGGTCCGTTATGAAACTAAAACTTATGACAATCTGTGGCAGGATCTCGTTTCGATACTTATCAGATTAGTTTAGCAAGTCCTCCCCGATCCTGTGGAGTAACCTTTAGTGCCCACTATCGAATCTTTATACGATGCCGGTCCTCATCCTACCCTGGAGCTCATATATCGGGGCATCACGAGCAGAAAAGGGGCGGCACCAAATTCGAACAGTTCGCTGCCGTGGAGAAGCTCATATCGATCCACGGAACCAAGCCCCTCTACACACTCCTAGCGAGGACAAAACCCGGATTATGAAACAAATCTTTCTCACCGCAAGAAATCAGGCGGCCCTCAAGTGTCGAGCTTGCTAACCTGGCATATCCTTTTGAGTTTGTTCGTTTGGAGGAATCCAACCCAGGGAGAGACGGTGGGCAGCGGCCCGGGCAGCACTCGCCTTCCCATGGCACACCAGCAGTACAGCCATCAGCGCAGCACCGCCCCGATCAAACAGCACTGTGAGAGTCAGTTGGGCGACCCCTGAAAAGAGTTCCCAAGCGAGAGCGCGCCGACGTTGGCTAATATTAAGCCTCCAACATCCCCGGAACACCTCGTCACCCGCGGCTTCATATATACCCCCCAGCGGTGAACGACGATGTCCAGGGGAAAAGCGATGAATTGTGGAGTATGAGGGGACAAGGTTCTTAGGGGAGGGGGGGGAAGCGCAGCCAATTTACGCACCCCAATCTTTAGCTACATTGGCATTTTGAACACGAGCTGTAGTGCCCGTTGGCGGAGGTTAAAGGAAGCTATCCTCATGACCGTTGGGGTATTGGGTTAGGTCCAACAGAGCTTAGCAGTCATGCATCTCCCGTATTTGTATAGCTTCGTCCTAGCTAGTAAAGACAGACCATCTCTCTCCACACACACCTCCGTGCCTACAGCGCTTGGCAGATCTGGCTTCAAGCCTGAATTTCCCTCGCCAACTCTGGCAAGATGGATTTGAAAACTCCCCTCGTAGATCATATGCTGGTCCCGTGGTGCATCCGCAGCTTCCGTCTTGGAGATGGCATATTACCCCACCCCACGGAAGGTCAGCCTCTGCGATTTCACGTTCGGGGACACCCAGCTCGGTGGTAGCGACATGTAGATACTAAATGAGCGCTATTCTATTTCGATCGTGTGTCCAGCCACAGGAGTTGGTGCCCTCAGCTTCAACCAACTACGCCAGCGAAGTTCGAGTCCCCTAACGCCGTATGGCTACACTTGTTTCCACACACGACCGGAATGACCGAGCTGGAGTCATACACCCACGAAACTTAATGGCAGCCGGGCAATAGATAGACTCGGAGAAAAGAAAAAAAAAACGACAAGCACTTCTACGTGGCCTCAGATCTCGTGGAAGATAAGCGGCATCATATTTTGATTAAAAAAAAAAAGCCCTCCGCGAGCACTTGGAAAGCTCCTTCCTATCATACCACCGATTTTTTTCGGGATAGTGTTTGCAACCGGCCAGTCCGGCCCGGATTGCAGTTCTTCCGAGTGACGAAGCATGATCGCACCCATTCCAGAAAGCTTTCTGGGCGTGTATGTATATGCATTCACATGGGTCAAACAGACCGCTAGTATATAGGCCAACATTCACTGCACGGGTTACTACCGTATAATTCATGGTATGTTATCTTCACCGCGATGGCTTATGGGAGCTATGCCACATGTATTTAGCCTAATTTACACCGAACCGGCTTCAAACCCCCTGTGAGCTCGCGAGATAAAACAAAGCCACCACCACCGGCAGACTCATCCCGCAACCGCTCTCCCCGAACATGAATAAAAATATCACAGCCGACTGATTGAGGGGTAAATGAGCACCTTGAGTAGATTTTAGTGTAGATCTGCAAAGTAAGTTTATATGCTCGCCTAAATAGTGGCGGCCTACTGAACCATCAGGATAAAAGATGGCGAGACATTTTTTCAATTCGGGGTTTTTTTTACGATGAAGCGTGCTTAGGGGGCCCTGCGATACGGAACATGCTTAAAGTCAAGGCAAACCCATCTCCAACTACTCCTCCCAAACATAAAATCCGAAATCGCCAAAGTCAGGGTTTCCGGGCATCGCCAAATAGGCCCTAACGTGTCTGGTATTATTATATATATATATATATATATCATACTGCTGTGTATTTTATTGTGGCAGGAGATGGCATGTAACTAACACTATATAAATTTCGTTTAAAAAAAAAAAGAGAGACCTACCATATTATCATATCCGCAATCCCGAGACAAGTCCCTCGCATCACCCAACCCCAAAGCCCTCCGCACACCACCCACCGACATCCATCCCGGCTTCCCGGTAGACTATCCCAAACCCAACCTCTAACCAGGTCCTCCAAGAATTACTATCTGCTATGAGACCAAGCGAGCGGGAAAAATGAAAAAAATAAAAATCGCACAACAGGCACCCAAACCATTTCCCAAAACGCCCCGCAACCCATTGATCCCATAAAAAAAGGAAAAGAAGAGAAATGCATGGCTTTTCTCAAACCCCCAAATAAACAAAGAAAATATGCAAAAGGAAAGGAAAGCATCAACGGAACGAACAACGAACGAGCGAACGGGCACCCCACCCCCCGAGACCACAGGTGCAAAGCCAGAAAAAAAAACCCTTCACGAAACCTCAGTTTCTACACCTGGTCTTCTGGGCTCCATCGCGAATTTACCCTTTAAGTCCCTCCCTTTCCCTACCACGCCCCTCCCAACCCATGCTAACGTTCGGGCCCCCTTCCACTGCATGGCACCCCTCTCCCGTCTGTGCAATTCTCCGATCGATTCCTTCTTACGGCTTAGCCTTCGTTTGATGCCTCCTATCGTATTCCTCCCTTCACTCGCTTCTTCACCGCTGCCTGTGTCCTCTCCACTGCTGTTACCGGAGCTACCGCTGCTTGCCGACGATGCATCATCGTGAACGTGGTGGTGGCCGACGCACTTCACTGCACGACATATGTCGTCCATTCCATCGAGCTTTCGATGCGCTGGTGTAAGGCCTCTTCGGAACCGGACGGTTAATACCACGCTTCCAACACATCTCCCGGCACCCAGTGCGCTTCCACAATTCTGGACGAAGCGGTCAATGTCCTCTGGCTGGTAAACGCCTAACCGAACTGTAGTCTCCTCGTCATCCGGAATATCCTTCAACCAAAGCAGAGCGACTGCAAGACATTTACCGCGCCGGACTACAGAATCCCTAATAAAGTAAAGTATGCATGGCACGGAATACCGATGTCGAACAGACAGACGAAAGCGTTTATCCTCCAGGGACCATCCAGGAGTGGCGGAAATCGCAACAGCTTGGTGCGCGTCTCTCTTACTGAGCGATGTTCGAAACGTAAGACATCCAGCACCCGCAACTTGCCCGTCAGTGATATCCTGCGCAGAAATGAACCGTGATACAACCTCCACCGAACCAATGTCTGCTCCCAACATCTGTTTCGGTAGCGAGATATCGATCGAGCGGAAGAGCAATGATATCCTAATCTTTCCGTAGCCCACGCCTCCCTGGATAGGATAATATCTCGAGATGACACTCGAATTCTGAAATACCTTATCCAACTTCAATTCCACCGCTCCCAATATGGGATCGCTCTCCCTATTCCTCGAATCTTCAACAACAACCAGCACAGTGCTTTCCCTATAGTCTCTGACAAACCTTTCGGTACCGGCGTTGAAAAACGGCTTGCTAGTCATCGGCTTCACGCGGGTCTTGTAAATCTTCTGGTAATCAAGAATGATTGAACAGTACGCCGACGGAAGATTGGAGGATTCCTCCTCCTCAACCGCCTGGGTTTGCTCCTTCCGGAGGTGAGGGTTGGAATGGGACTTTGTGCCGCTAACTGTGTGGCTTTCGAGGGCGACAATGTTATGGATCTGGACGGAAAGAATGCCTGAAGGGAGAAACGGCGCTGGCGGAACATGGGTTGCACGACAATCCCTAGCCATAGGTTTACTGTCGGGGGATGAACTGAAGTCGGGATGGCTCTTCGCTTCCATTAATCAACCATTAACCGGGTGAACAGGCTTGGGGCAACTCACCTTCATATCATCCGGCAGCCTCTCATCAGTGCCATCAGTGCCAGTGTTTCCGCTCAACTCGGCTTTCCCATGAAATGCCACCGACCAGATTAAATGGCCCGGCACTGTTCGCCCCCTCTCAAACCCCCGCAAACTATCCCTTCTCTCGTAAACCTTTCCCCGATTCCTCACCAAATCCGTGACATCAACATCCGTTCTACCGACCATATCATCCGCTGTAAACCTATCCGAATCCCATAGCTCCACACTCAACATCTCATTCGCCTTCACCTCATCGGCGTTAACCAGCACCACTGCAGTTTCGTCCCATACAGGACTCAAATCACCAAAGATTATCCTTGTAGACCAAAGGGGCTTCGCAAATTTTGAGTAGCTCAATGTTACATAGCAGTCGCTCTTGCCGTTCAGATCAGCTGCCTTTACAGCTTCGGCCGAGTGTATATGCACTACGAGCACTCCGATAGCGTTGGTGTCCTTCTTGATGTCATCCCCGGTAAGGATCTTGGAAACATCAAAGGTGTAATTCGACGGCGCAACGTATGATTTAGCGGCGGCGCGGATGGCAGAATTCATAAAGTCACTGATAAGCGGAAGGTTCATGACATTGAGAAATCGCTGATTCAGCGGGACGGCAGCTATCTCGATCTTTGGCATCCCGAGGAGGGTAAAGGTTGCGAGTTTTATGAAGGGAGGGTCAGGGATAGTTTGCAGTTTCAGGCGACCTAGAAAGAATGAGCGAAAAAGCAATAATGAGCAGGATTCAGAATCAAGGCGAGCCTCACACGTCCCGGTGCAACCACGAAGCTCAACCCATACGGCTGATGGATCTCGTTAGCCGAATTCGTGAATGCAAAGATGCGGAAAAAAGGAACTCACGAATAGGTGTTCCCAAAACCCCCTTCACTCCCAACGTGAGGTGGATCAATAAACTTGCGTTCTTTGCCTTGCTTGCCGCGTCGCTACTACTCGGACTCGCTCTGTAGGCAAAAGCAACTTCCAAGGAGGCCCATTCACCGACCTCTTCCTGCTCGCCCAATCTCTCATTTGCGCCCCCTGCACCACCCTCATTGAGCCATCTCATAGATAGGATACGAATTGGTGTGGCGCCCTGGCCAACACTCGTGATCTTCACTTGGTTTACCACAGGAGGCAACGACGCTTGCATAACATCCTCGATCAGGTCGACAACAGTAGAGAAGAGGTCCGCATTGATTTGTGGCCACAGCTTCGAGATGGTACCATTGAGCCATTCCACCGTTTCGCTTCCCTCCAGGCCGGGAGAGTTCATCCTCTAGTCAAACCAGTCAGCCAAAATCCACCACAAGGCAGTGCGGGTAGCAAACCTGATTCCCGCGATCGGATTGTTCATAAAACACCACGTCCGCCCATAGGCCCTCTACGCGCCGCCACCACGACACAGCACTTCCGATAGCGATGAAGATGGATACCGAATACGGCAGGCGAAGCACACCATTGAGAAGGACAAACACCGATGCTATGAAGGCCATATACTTTACCGTGAAGCTCCGGAACTGCAAAGGTCAGCAAGAGTGCGGCGGAGCGGTAAGGGAATGACGGGGGCCACCTCTTCCATAAATTGGGACCATAACGTTGGCGGGTAGGCATCCGGGGCTGTTCGTGGAATTTCGATCGGAGGAGCATATTTAGCATCACAGATTTTGATGCTACCGGCACCAAACTCACCCCCGGATCAGCCAAGCCAAGCCCGTAGAAAGTGAACGTGGAGGAAACAAACTCACTCTTCCCCGGTAATCGGATCGGAAACCAGGATAGAATGCTCCTCTATCCTTCTCCTCCTCTCCTCCTCCAGCTGATTGTCCGGACTGGCCTGCCGATGCGGATAAATGTCCCACAGAGAGTCAATCCTCGGGACTGGGTTCCTTCCCGAGTAGAAGCGTGGATCAGCCTTGGGCCGATCAACATTTCTCCTCTCGAAACTGGTGGCGGAACGTTTGCGGAGGGAATCAAGACCCTCGGCGGAGGACCTGTCGGTCTGGAGGGAAGGACTACTGGCTGGTCTGGAAGAGCAATCCATTGTTGCCCGGGAACATCTAGGTGATAGTGAAGGAGGTGAAGGCAGAGTGAATCGAGGGGCCGTAGGGTAGTATAGAGATTGGTTTAAAGCCCGGCTCGCATCAGCTTGACCTGGTCTGATGGGTATGGGTAGGAAGGGGGTATGTAGAAGAGATAAGGGCTTGGCCAATCCCCGCTTCGCGAACGCAAATTACCGGTATCCCGAAAGCAAGAGGTGGGAAAGGAGCCTGAGGAGTGCACACCGGGCAGTAGAGAAGAGAAAGGGAAGAGACATTGCAGTACCGGCACCTTGCAGGGGCTCAACCCAATTTATCAAGGGTTGGCCAGTTGCCATGATAGCTGCCTTTCGCCACTCACTCCTGCTCCAAAGGGTTGCAGAAGGGCCGGGTTTGCCGTGCTTCCGAAGGGATTCCCTCGGGTCACGAAGCTGCAGGCAGGAAGTGGAGAGCGTTACGCCGCTTACGCGCCCAAGTCTTGATGTGCATCCAGGAGCACCGGAATGATACTAGTCTATACTCGTACGCTCTGGCACAGGAAGCCTCCCCTGAGCGCTACTGAGCACGGTAAATTTTTAAGTTACTCGTAGACTACCAGCATTCGAGTACACACAAGCCACAACCTCTCCGTGTGGATTATCGTATAATAATCCGTACAGTACCCGACGACTGTAACTTATACCCGGATCCTTCTTTCACTTCAAACGAGAGCAACCTTATTAAAAATAAAAATAAAATAAAAAAAGAATGAGAGTGAGAGAGATTAAAATGAAAAAGTCGAGTACTATACCGGTATTCCTGAAACGCTCCAGGCCCACCGTCAGGGATGACGTCGTGGCACAGTTAAATAAACCTCCGCCCCTAACCCAGAAGCGATACAGAGCGTTTCTCCCGGATTATCTGTTTTACCGCTGCCGTCCAGGGGGCAGGATGAAGGTGCCTCAACCGTCTTTGCCAACGTGTCACCAAAAGCCCGACCCCGACAGGTTTAGCGAGGAGCGCTGATTAGATTGTCGGCGCTGGGTTGGATTGCACCGCTCCGGCAAATCGCCGCACGGCTAAGCCATTTCATCAGACACGGAGTATCACTCGAGTTGCGATTTGAAATCCCGCGCATCGCTTACCGTACCACACACCAATCACGAGCGCCTGGTATCGGGTATCCGGACGTCAACGCGTAACCTCCAAGCACCAACTGAACAAAAAAAAAAAAGCTCCGTCGTAAGTTACAAGTAGCGGTGGGAAGGCTGCACCCTTACCGTATTACACGCCGCCCGAACCAATGTCGATACAAAAGACTTGGCGGGATCAAGGAGGGGATCAAGGGGGGTGTATCGGGCACTCGCATTGAAATGGGTTCTTGTTATATCAAGTCCCTTTCTTTTCATAGCGTTTTTAGGTCGCCCCGGACCCAAAGGTTGTGGTTGTCACAAAAAGAAACCAAACGAGATGGGGACAGCAGTAGTCCTGGAACCCAAGGGTGCGTGTTTTGACGCCGACCCGTAGCGTTTCCCGTACCAGTACTTTCTGGACCCTGAGGGAATGGGGAAATTTTTTCTTGCCAGATGCGAATATTTTCGGAAGAATGGCATTTGATTGGGGTGACCTATAAGCATGAAAAGTGCGATATCATAGCATTATTTTCTCCATACCGGTAGGGTGTGGCGCCAAACAGCGCCTACGGTAAGCTTTTTTATTTGTTTTTCTTGCCTCTTCCTCCCCCATACTGTGGTGTAGTCTCGATCCAGTTATTGCAGCAAGTCTTTTTTGCCCATTCCCTGAACCCTTCAGGCCTTCGAGGGGGGGGCTCATGGGCGCGAGCCCTCAGACCCTTGCTGATCTTCATCACGAACCCCCGCCCTTCATGCCGGCACTGACTCTGACGGCAAGATGCTCTGCCTCTCAGCGTATCCCAACAGAAATCCGAACACACCGGCATCAGGAGTAGCACAACCACGCGCCCGGCCTTAGGGTCAGGCATAACTTTACTCGAGTACGGAGGTGGGAAGGACTAATAATCTAGCTACGGTACTTTTAAGGTTAACTGGCCCAAGTTTGTCGCCTCGCCCGTTCCCGGGTTTCACACCTTTTGTATTGTAGTACGAGTAGCACAGAAAGTCGGGGATTTTAGTACGGGGGTTTATTCATAGATAGGAATTGCGGTGCGTCTTTGGCTGTGACCTATAATAGCCGGTAATTCTTCTGTGCACTTCATGAGTTGGCCACGCTGTTATTGTACGGAGGCATAGCGTGACGGCCCTCGTACTCGGGTGAAAACTCCCCGGCCACATCATCGCATACGGATAGGATAGCATACGGATTTCGCGGAGCACATGCGCTCTCCTCGAATCTCTGGGGACAACCTCAGCACCTCCGCCAAGCCCACTTCCAATCACCGATACCGCTGTTTTTTTGGGGATGAGCGCCATATGATAACCCTAACCCTGGTACCGTAATGCCAGTCCGGATTCTGGAGCGTGGCATGTTGTAGATGGGCAACCAGTGCGCTGCTTATCCTGCGAAGGGCGGGAGCATCCTCTGGAAATGCATTGGCGTTTGCGCCCTGGAAGAAGTGGCGGGACCCACTCGATAGCTACCGTCATGCTCTGCTTCCGGTGAGCGACCGGCGGCAGTGTGCACGGCGTGGTGGTGTCGGGTCCAGCCAACATTTCAGCGAACCGCAACTGGGAATAGGTATTACAGCATTGGTTACTGGTTATTGGTTAGGGAAATGTTGGTTTTTTGGGCGTCGGTGCTGTCAGGTAGAGTTTGTCGTAGACTGTAGTGTCTAGCATGAGCTGGTCCCGGACGGGCCATACCTTAGCCACAAGTCATGCCGACCGGTATGATTAATGGGCTCGGGCATTCTGTGGTTCGTGGGCGAAGCTGGACCCGACCCAAGCTTCAAGGGTGCTATCGCCCATCATGACTGCATCCGGTGCAGGGTCCCACCATTTATCCACTCTACTCGGGTGAAGCTCCCCCCATTCTCCAGAGTCTTGTCAGCAGTTTTCCGGTTATCCCTTATATTTTCCTCTTCCCTCTCCCAAAGCCGGGCTCCAACCTGCATTGGATGCTACCCAGCTTAGCTGAATATATTGAGATTGATTACCTGATTCAATTCTCTCCCCTACTCTCGCATCATGTGTGATATCAAGAGTATATTTCGCTTAAGGGCTCCCGCACAAACGCCCGTCCTCCCTGCTCCTAGAGCATTAGTATTAACTCGTGAAAGTATGGCACTTTCCCTAGCTTCCGCTAGTGTTCACTATCATCTTCTTGTTTTCCGGTAGACTACGTCTACAGCTTGCTTTTGAACCACCAATTCTCTATGGCTGGGGGGCTAAATTCACACTCGAGGAGCCTGAGCTCGCAGTCTTTTGGGATCGTGTGGCTCGTGCAGGACACTATCCATACCATCGATAGCTTTAACCTGGGCACCGCGCTAGGCCCGATTCATCCTGGTGCTTCTTTAGCACTCCTACCCATTTCAATCATATTCGAGCGGGTCGTATGACGCATACGCAAATTTGCTCCTCGTGTGGCTTGACGGTATTCGCGATGCTCACTCCGTTTGCTAGACTATATTCGGCCTGGAGGTGACCTCTGGCGACTTGCGACATCTCTGGTATTGCCCTTCACCGCAATTCTGTCCTCACAATTCATCTGTTGAACGGGGTGCCTCCTATTGGTGGCGTGCCGAGGGAAGAAGTTGGTTTAGGAACTAACTGATACCTGCTAGGCTTTGGGGCCAGGCGGCTCCCGTAGATGCCCGGTGGAGTATAATAGCATGATTCCACCAATCCCATACTTGTCTCCTATCGGTTTGAAGTCCATGTACTAACACACAATGAAGGGGACTGCTTGCTCTAAGAAATTGCGGTTTAGGGAATAAACATCGACAGCACCGGGAAGGCTTGGCTACGTCAGACATTCAGAGGTCCTGTGCTCTAGTTTCCTCCATTTTCCATCCTGAATCCTTTGCAGCACCAACTACTTCTGTGGGCCCTGGACTCAACAAACTTGCGAGAGCAAAGGGAAAGCTCTCCTTCGGTTCTTCCACCGATAATGGAGAATGACGGATGCCTCATACCTCGCACTCTTGAGTAGCGCCAAAGAATTCGGAAAAATCACTCCTGGGAACAGCGCGAACCGGGATGCCATCCAGGGCTCAAGGAACAAATTCACCTTGACGAGGGGTACAGCCATCATAGCACTCACCGGATAGAATGGTCAAAAGGTCCGGGGCCACACGAGAGACTGGAACTCCCAACTCCCCACCTGGGATACGTCCCCCCTCCACCCTTCTCCATTAAATACCAGTAAGCCAAAGCTAATGAGTGTTAGCAAGCAGCGATGGCTTTGACAAGGCAACCCTAATATCCGTGATGGGGAATCACTCACGGAAGCAATGAAAATACCGCAAAGGCCGACTCCCGCATTAGGACGTGTTGAGCGAAGTCTTCAACGACGACGGGACCTGGAGCTCATCTCTCTTCTACAACACCACCTGCGAAGCCTTTCCGGTGATCGACCTCCGCCTTGCTCGGGCGGTAGGCCCGTCCGCGGAGCTATACAGCAACAATTACAGCACTGACGGCATAGGAGCAAGATCCGCGGTCGCGTATGACCTCGTCAAGAAACCCCCCGCAGAGGGTGCAGACCAACTGGGCACTGTTCACGGCATTGGGTGTGGATGTTGCCATAACCGAGTTTGATGTTCGAAAGAGATTGCCGGCGGACACGGAGAAGTTGGAACAGTAGGCCAGGATTATAAGAAAGCTGTTATGGTGCGAGTTAATGTACCAAGGTATATTGTTATTAGCAGATTTTACCCATAAGTTAATCCCCCGGTACTCGGTGGGCTTATGCGGTGATTTAAGTAAACGATTAGCACTTAAGAATCACTTAATCGATTGTATGTAAGAACGAACTCATGTTCTTTTTTTTCCGGAAGATGTCTAACTTTATGACCCTCATGTACTAGCTGTTCCAATGAGTGATGAGGGACCAAGTGGTGCAGTAGCGTTCGCCCCAAGTAAGTGTCGGAGAAGCATATTCTCAGGAAAAGATATCAGCCATTGGTCAGTCATAGCTGAGGCCGGGAACCCCCTCATGTTTAAGTTACGATAGATGGGTAGTTGAAGACAGCAAACCCACAATGGAAAATTGTCAAACGTCTTGGGCAGTATCCGGAGGGGTATTATGTGGGGTCATGCATTGTGAGTGGGGAGCTCAAGAACGTCACACTCATACTCTGAGTGACGAAACGCTAAGATATTTCCCACTCGCCGGATCTGGTTCACCCCCGTGTAAGGATTGTTCCTGGGTCTTCAAGTGGGTATGTCGTAGGAACTGGCAAAGCACATGTCTGCTCACAGCCACTGATGCGAGTGATTCCCCATGATAACGGATAACCGATCCCCCTGCGTCGGTGGCCGATACTTTCTGGTACCATGCACTGTACAGTACAACATAGTACAGTCCCCTTTCCACAATTGCACAATGCTGGGAACAGGACGCCGAATCATGCATGTTCCACCGATCACCCTTTCCGAGCATCACCATTTTAAAAAGATTAAACAACTACCACCCCCGGAGCCCAGTCTTCCGTCCATCCGCAGAATCCGAACATACTGCTACCTTTCTAAAGCAAAAGGTGCTAAAAAAAAAAAAGCCCCTGTGAAACTGGAGCCTCGTCATACGAACCCACGATGATTGCGCAATACCGGCACCGGCACTCACCCCTCGCCCGCCCTATCATAAATCCCGATAACTTGGAGCTGAAAACCCCGTTTCACATATAACATACTTCTGTCAAGTGGCTGTATTTGTCTTTGCGCCCCGCTACCCCCCCCCCCCCCCCAGGCTCGGGACCTTACCGTAACGTTGATTTTGTGCCCTGAGCGGGCTTTCTGCCGCCTCGTACCGGCAGTTCCCTCTCCTTCAGCCTTATTCTGGGGAGACAAGGTTTTTAGGCCTCCAGTCCTCATAGGGCTGGAATGCTTTTGATTTTCATGCACTGTGTCGGGAGTTGAGTCCCTGGGCTCATGTTAGCCGGACCGGGAGGGGGGGGGGGGTGGGGCTCTTCGGCATATATACCACTGTGACAGCTGGGTATCACACGTGATGTTACCTTGGGAAGCTCAGGGAGATCGGTCCGGTAATCGTTTATTGGATAACTTAGGGTACAGGAGCAGATCTATCATCCGGCTAAACCGATCATTAAACACCAAATATACTATGGAGTAAATATGTTCGGAGCACTGGAGTTTCTGCCCACATTGCGGAGACGTTAAGGACCAGGTGAGAGGGTGTATATTTTGTGTTCCTGATTGTGGGATTTTTTGCGGGGTTTGCATCTGCTCATGGTTTAGTTAAAGTGGTGGATAGTTATCCTAGCCCAGTGCATAAATGCCATAATTTAACTTTTGTGGGGTTTGTGGGTACCGGGCTCGGAAGAAGATAAGCATAACATGTACCTTCTATCCTAGCGGCTAGTTATTATAGCTCACTGATCAAGTTGATACCCCATTGGCCATGCAGGCCACCTGCAGGATAGGTGTCGACAACCCCCCCCCCCCTCGACAAAGAATATTCTAGCCCCTTCTATAGAAAAAATACCCAAGTTCCCTGATTACAGGTACGATTTTTTCTAGCTCCTGATAAGAAACACGAAAACCCATAATATCTCTATTTCGAATTTATAAGCATGCCCTAAACCGACACCGATAGGCGCCATAGTATAAGGTGCATTGGGACACCGAGCCCGGGTGAAAGAATCCTGGAGCACATATCCCGAGCCTTGGAAGTTCCACCCCATTTCCACAACCCTTCATCCTCACCTATGCACGGGGGATAGTCCCCTTTACCAAGGGAGTCACCCGGCCACTGGAATGGATTATGATATGGCGTCCAGTTCGTGTGGGAGGAGCCTGTTCAACTTCTGTGGGGTTTTCTCGGGACTCTAGGATCGGTGGACCGATTTTAAGGGTGTTGTTCGGCTTTTCACCAGTATCTATCTTGGGTGAAGGGAGTAGGACGCATCTAGCGCGGGCTGGAATACAATGTTTGACTCGGAGAACCTGTTCATGGTCTCAATCGACAGTTTTGGGGCACTAAGAAATCATCATCCTTCGGAAGTCGAGTGATATTTTGTGATGTTCTGCAGTGACTTGGGCATGTGGCATTAGGGACTGCTCCCAAGAGCAGCCTCGGAGAACAGAATGTGGCTGAGCATCCTAGTTTGATGTTATTTTGTAGTTTCCTCGGGACGGGAGACGATAAATTAATTGAGGCCCAACGAATTACCTTCAATATGACAGGTTCGTGGTGGGAACAGAAATTGACTTTACAGAAGAGTGCGGTGCTAATACAAAAAGTGGGGGGTATTGGGCAATTTTGCGGTTTGTGTGGAGAGGAGGGTGCACGTCTCAAGGTGCAAAGAAAGAAAACCCATATTTTTGTCGTGTGGCTGTACAGTACCATTCCGCTACTCCTCCAATGATAAACACAACTTGCGCTGAAACGGATTACCCGAATATAGTGCAACAACATCCACCTCTTACACCTTCGTGGCGCCCCCACATATAAATCAATATGGCGGGGGGGGGGGGGGGTGGGTGAAGGGGGAAGAAAGCTGAGAGGAAGAACTAAAAAAAACCATAAATCCTCTCCACCACAGCTCCGTTTAACCCACCGCCTCAATGGGCGCCGCGCAGCTCTGCGGGGACCACGGGATAATATCCCTAGGGTGCAAATTCGTATACGGCACCCTCCCCCAGCACCAGCTACACATAAACAAGCCATTATGAAGAATTTCACCCGGCTTGCTGCACACCCAGCAGGTATAGTAATAATCCACACACTCTGGCCTCCTGCAGCAATTTGGGTCTCCCGGGAACACGCGGTCGGCTCTGGAGTAATCATTGAAGTCGTAGCAGGCTTCGTCGTCCTTTGTTATCTCTATCGCGCATTCTTGGCAGTATATATTTGCTGCGGAGGTGCACGTGCATGGATTTGTGAGGAAGGGGGGGGTGCAGGAGGAGCATACCCAGCGGCGGCGGGCCTCGCTGCGCACCGGGGGGGATTGGCGGCAGTACTTTGGCCTATGTTAGTATTGGTCTTTTTTTGGAGGGTAGGGTAAGGAACCCACTTTGCAGGAATCCCGCAAGCATCCCATCCTCCCGCAAATTTGCACGTCCATGTCCCCATTCGGGTCCTTTTCGAGCGCTTGGTGCTTCCGTACTCCAATAAAGCGCAAGGTTTGTGAGGACCACCAGGGGGGCGGTCCGGGGCAGGTTCGGATACACCGCTCCAGCATGTTCCTTAGGGATGTGCAGTTCCGGATGTTCAACGTATAGTAGATGGCTGGGTGGGAGAGTATAAGGTTGTAGATGTCCTTTCGGCCAAGGTGGGTTATGAGTTGGCGGGCTATTGGGTATTGAGATATTGACTCGAGAGCTCTTGTTGGAGGTGATGTTGGGATAGTATGATCAGTGTGTTGTTCGATCTCCCGAGCGAAACACATGATGCTGGTAACGGAGATGACTTTCCACTGTGGTATTGAGGTTTTGTTGGCTTCGGCCGTGGGGAGAAGGTTCCTAGCGAAGGGCGTTATGTATGAGAGGGTTGGCTATTTAAACACCCCTCAACTGAAGCGTTCAGCCCAGAAAGCCTGATGACGTTCAGAGCCACCACTATAAAAAGGGGCAAGTGGTGGTAGAGCCTTACGAGGACATCCTTGATTCCATACAACGCAGTTCCAGGCTGGGTGCCGCGTTACTGATGATGTCCTCCTAGAGAAACCGACGCTCAGTCGGACTACCCAAATCGCTGCATATCAAGGGGCCGGAGATATACCCTTCTCCAAAACAACAATAGGACCATCTTTAATTCGCTCCTTGCTATCAGACGAGGCAGGAGGCTGGTCCATTTTAGGTTCTTCACAGCCAGGTAACGGATGTGGGAGTAACATCTGCCTCGCAGACGCGGGGAGCGAAACTTATGCCGCTTCATAAGAGTGAAGCCTGAACCTGATATGGGGAATCGTGGAAATTAGATATGGGTATGGGGGGATAGATATGGCCCCGAAACGATGGGATCTGCCAATTGGTAATTGGGATTGAGGTTCTTACGCTGTTCTGAGGAGGAACCATCCGCGGAACACCGGGGATCCTGTGCCACCTAGCACTTCTTCGAAACAGCGGATAATTCTCGGAAATTTTCATAGGAGAAAGGTAAAGAAGATATCTGGAGTGCGTAATGTGAGCGAAACTGTGATAAGGAGGAAGGTTGCAAACTGAAAACACACCAAACCCGGCAGGCCCTGTTCAATTGTCTTCACTAGTGTTTGCCCTGCCTCGCCTTTAAAAAAACCCCTTGATTAACGAGTTGCCCCGCGAGAAATTGGGGGGTGAAGAGATATGGGAGTACATTTATTACCATCGCCCATTTCATTATTTTCCTGGTGAGCATATGCCCAATCTCGCCTCACCATATCAGGTTCGCTAGCCACGCAAATCCCAGGACTCTCAAATGTCCCACTCTGCCGGCCGACCATATAATACTCGTACACCTTGGATCCGACAACCGGGCCCACTCGAAGGCTAAAAAACGTACAGCGAAGTTAGAAGAGAATACTCGTGTGCGATCTGGAAGCCCAGCTATGGGTGGAACAGAGATACTAATTGGTTGAAAGGGGGATCGCCGAGGATGGGTGTGATGTAGTGCAAAGACGAATGAGTTACCCCCCTTTATCCCTC